AGTACTTGTCCGTTAGTCAGAACTCGGAATTATATTCCCATAAAATGACGAAACGTTTTTTTTTTTTTTTTTTTTTTTTTATCGATCGTACGCGTTTATGGACTCATCACAATACACTGCTCTTGCACTATATTATATTTATAATATATACAGACACTTAACGAATTCCACTCGATCCGAAAACGCACGTTTCGGATCGTATTTGATTACTATCATACACCATAATAACATAATAGGTAGACATTAAACCTGCAGTTTGTAAATAATTTTTTTTTTTTTTTTTTCAATTACGATAATAATATATTCGTATAAAATGTTCACGGCGCGGCATTTATTTTCGTCGAAATACGCAAAACGTACAAAGATTGCACGTTGATACATTAGCGCCGAGGTTTCAATGAAAGCGATATTTTTTATATTCTAGGAGGTGGAGACTAGTGGACGGTCGTTCTATGTGTGATTGCGATAATGTCTTTATCGTAAATATGTTATCGACTGCTGCGGTACGTCACCCGGACTCAAACAAATAACGATACCTACTTGTACAAAAGCGTATAATTCTATTTTACATTTTTCGCTGTTTGTTTTTAAAGCAGTGTTTAGCATTTTAGATTCTGAGTGGTGCGAAGGAGCTTATGAAAAAACATGGGAAAACGTGGAAAAACGTGGGTAAACCGGGGAAAATCGGTACAACATTAAACAAATATTGTTAAAAAAAAATATATACATATAAAGCCTATTTAATTGTTTTACAATAATATTATGGCATATACATCGTTAACAAAGTATCACTATCGAATGAACTCCGCTCGGAATCGTTTTTTCGTAAGCAACGGTTTATTGTTGCTTACAGGTACATATTAAATTACCTATACCGGTGGTTGCAGCCGTTCCCATTATCCCAGGACGTTTTTATTATAATTCGACCTAATTTATATTCGTTCGATTCTGCTTCAATGTTCGCTCCACCTTTTCGTTCTCTAAATACCTCAGTAATACCTCAGGTAATACTTCGGTTCATTAAAAAGCACACAGTTTAAAAAATTCTATATAAAACACACAGTAACAGTGATAACACTGGATTTTAAGGGACTATATTTAAAATTGGCCAATCAGCAACGTTCGGTCGCGTAGAAATGTATACGATGTTTATGCGCATCCATGGCATCGTAGTTAATAATAATAAAAACAATGTTTAGTTTATATATATATATATATTAATAAACAGTAAACATTCTTTACCGATAATTGTCATTTACACTTTTGTTTTTTCGGAAGTTTGATTTTCAACGCAACATTTGTTTAAAGGTATTGATAGATTTATTAAAACACTCTTATATTAAATGCACGCTAGAAATATATGTGAAACACGCACGTTTTCATAATTTGGTTTTTAAAGGGCAGGAACGAAATTTTAATTTATAGGTTTCAGAAAGATGCACTTTATTTACAGACGTAATAAATGATTTGGGAAAAGGTTTTGAATTAGATATGAAGCCGTCTATATTTTATCGCGAAATACGTAAATTCGACTCTTCCAGTTTTTCTCAATAATCTATTTACTTGAACTTTTCCAAAAATGAATAACGATAAATTTTTTATTTTCCAATTCGTTTATTTTTTTTTCTGTGGAAATTTAGGAATTATGAAATACAGGGAAATATATATTTAATTCTTCATTGAACCTACTTAAAATCTTTACCTATTCATCTGTTCAAGGTTCGGTGCAATGGAAATTGAACACACAACTATTATTTTCGCGTGACGATAATAATGGCATTAAAATAAAAAAAGGAAATAAAAATGGGTGGTTCAAAAAAGTTCTAGCTTATCATTTTTAACTGTCTAGCTGAGCGTATCGAAGTTTTAGACCGATCATAGTACGTGAAACTAGCCTATTAGTTAGGTTTATCACTTCCGCGTGACGGTTATCTCCATATCTCGAACAATAAATTAAAAATTCGATGGGCAATATTGTGGGACTTTGAGAACACCGTTAATAACTTGGAAACAGTGATTTTTCGATTATATTTCAGCAATTACACAAAAATAAAACCGGCAGGAGCGCATGCAAAAAAGTGATAATATAAATCATAAGTTTTAATAACCGTATTGCTTATGTGTGTGCTCATCACCTGACACAAAATACTACAAGCCGTTTAACACACAATAAAAACTCGTATACGCAATTTTTAAGTTATATAAATTAACTTTTAAAACTGTATAATTGTATAGATAGAAGTAAATAATTGTTAACGTAAAGTAGTCAAAAACAAAACCAGAATGGCTACACATTTGGTCGTTCCGGTAACGAAAATTGATGTGTGTAATATAAATTTAATGACCATTAATAACTTACTTGAAGATACATTTGACCGTAAACAGAACGTGGAAGCAATCAAATTTGATGTTGGTCCGAATTTGCCATATAAAAGGGAAAATATTATTGCAAGTGAATATGAAATTGAACTTACTGAGAGTCCAATATATTCTATTTTGAATTTACCAAGTAGTATCACTGTAAAAGGGTAAAATTTTAATAGAGTTTATTCAAATACAATTTCAACAAGTGTTAATATATTTCAATTTTAGAGATGGAGATCATGAAATGGTGCAAAAAAAAAACGAAATTTATCTAAATAATAGTTATGAAAAGATTAAAAGTGTTGATAATCTAACCCAAAATATAATGTCTCAACTAAAAAAAGAGGAAGAAGGATGTCAAACGTTAATACTTTCGAAATGTACAACCGGTTCTCAAGTTAACGAATTTAATTTAATAGATGCATATAATGAGACAAACAAAGAGCAAAATGAATCTTTAAATCAACAAGTGCAGATGTCGAACAAAATGAACAAATATGTTCCTGTTCAGAAAGATCCAAAACTATTCAAAGATCCAGAAGTCTTTTTCAATATGGTAATGGTTATGGAACGAATACTGGCCCAGAATACATTAAATGGATTCAGCGACGAACAACGTCAGTTGAATAATATCATAGATCAAACGGAGAAACTTCCAGTTGAAAATAAATTCATTCTTACATATTGTTTTTCATTAGAAAATAAAAAAAACAATTTGTCAGTAAAATGTATGCATTGGCATGAAACCGAAACTCATTTATTGGCTGTTGCATATAGTAAATTATTGTATCACGATTATGAAGATAAACCGACTACAGTGGCTGTGTGGAGTATGAAAAATCCGCAAAATCCTGAAAGGTAATTAATATAATACACATAAGAAATAATTATATTCTGAATAATTGCCAAATTCGTTTTTATTTAGAGTTTTTGAATTTAACGAATCATTTATAACATGCTTGAAATTTGCGACTGAAAACCCAAATCATCTTGCGATTGGATTCTACAATGGAGAATTATTAATAATTGATATTTCTAGTAAAATCCTTGATGTTGTTTTTCAAAAATCTAAACAGATATTTTTGGAAAAAAATAGCATTTTAGATTTATTTTGGACAATTCAAATTGTAAAAAATCACGAACATGAATGTTTGGTTAGTATAATTGTTCGGAATGTAAAAATACTCAATATGTGCTACTTCAGGCGCCTCCTAATAAATTGTATTACATATACATAACAAAATTTAAATTTAAAATTCATCAGTTGTCTAACGTTATGCAAAACCACGTTAGATAGGTCTAAAGAAAAAAAAAAAGACAATTTGAAAACCTTTACTATACTAAGTAACAATAATTTTGTAAAGTAAATAAATATAATAAATAAACGTATAAAAATAAAATCAATTAATCAATGAATGGGTCGCCTGGAATATTATGATAAGTGTATTTTATACGACCGGTTTGGAATTAATAATTCATCATCGGGTCAAAATGTAAAACGCGACTGAATATAAAAAATTAACGTATTCATTCGTTTTTTTTTTTTTTTTGTACATACATTTTTTATTTATATATTTATATACTTTACTTGTTAACTAGTATTAACCATTTTAATAATTCTGTAGAAACCAATGGTTGTCATTGGTTGAATTCCAAAATTTTACTTTCCGTAAAATTATGGTTAGGACATTTATGTTCCAAATATTATTTTCCCGGGTCTTTAATATCCCAGTACTTTACGGCCTCCCATGTACAACATTCAGTCATTATGTGATTGATGGTCTCAATATGTATACATTACTGTATAGGTGACATGTAGTTTCAATGGTTGTATAGCGCGTTACCTTTATTCATACGGAACGATTGTGGAGACAATTATTATAAAGATATCCCAAGTTCATACTGGTTTGACTGAAGGTGAAAAAAACGAAAGGAGTTCAGTTGCAAAGACAAATGCAATCATTGCAACTAAATTTATGGGATTAAACGAAACGACATATTTGGTTGGCACGGGGGACGGTAAGGTTTATAAATGTTCATATGAAAATTCAATGGTATATTTAACAAATACGTTGGCACACTATGGGATAATTCAATCGTTGGAAAAATCACCGTACGATCAAGATGTGTATTTAACCACTGGTTGTGATTGTTGCATAAAAGTATGGTTTGGTAGTGTATCAATTGACCCGGTAATAACATTATACGCTAGAAAACAAATAGAAAAAGCCATTTGGAGTCGAACTAACCCTACAGTCATAGCATCTATTATAGGTAAGACACGCATTGCAATTGTAAAATGTATTATGTTTAAAATAATAAAATATCAAATATTTCTACTTGGTTATTGGTTTTCGTTGCAATTCAATATAAAAACTGACAATTTTCAACGGACGCTTACAATAGTATTTTCAAAATGTGTTATAAGTTTTCGAAAACATCCGTTGTGCTTTAGGCGAATGCGTAGCTATTTTAAATTGTAGCTGTTGTTTTTTTTTTCCCCCGGGTTTCGGCCGATACGATTGTTTAAATATTCCAATAAACTAATTTGTAATCATAGTTTTAAGCTAATATTGACGTCGTTCACGCTGTTATTTTATACAATCAATTTACAGACAACTCAATCCATATTTGGGATGTACGTTTAATATTGAAAAACGCACTTGTGTCGGTCCATAAGATACAGCATTCCGGTGACAAATTCTCCAATATGGAATTCACATTGGATGGGAAATATTTGTGTGTGTCTAATGTGAGCGGAACGGTCATTGTCTATGCCTGGTCAAACGTATTGTCGACCAGAGAATCCCAAGAAGAGAAAACCTTAATGTATTGCATTGCGGAAAGTGTATATTACATGTCGGGCGAAGAACTGTTGATCAAACAGTTGTCCAAGGAACGGCCGGAGTTCGGTACTTATTTCTCAATGTTGGAAAACAACACTGAGAAATGAACGACGCGAAGGTGTTCTGCGTTTTCGAATAAGATGTCGCGGCAATATTCTAAAGAAAATAAACACACAATCGTATAGACGTATTATTCGTAATCAATTGCTCGGGTTACAGCGGCTATACGAGATTATACTCGTGATTATCGAATTTCGGCCGTGATAACTCGATGGTTTTTTTTTTTCCGTTAAATTCACCGTCTTTCGCCTTTGCCGCCTTAACAGCTGGCGACATTTTCGATCGGCAATCGAGTCGTTCTCTATTCGGCTTTCCGGGCCGTTTCCGCGCCGGACGCTGCGCGCGTTTTCCATTTGTCCGTTACCGATTCCGGCTATCCGGAGTTCCTTACACACGCGCGTTCCCCGTCGACGTTGTGCGTCCGCCGCCGTGAACCCCCGGGGGCCTTACATTGGCCCGGGGGTTTTCGACGTGCACCGGCGGCATCGCAAACATTGTGTCACCGTGTATACGCGTGCCCACGGCAACGCGGGGGAGGCGGTGTTATACGACCGCCGTATTTCAATGTGTACACACGCGCGCGCACCGTGTATGTTAAACACGGCGGTCGATTACGGGGGTTTTATGAGGCGCGAACGACACGCGCCGGCCGAGCGTCCGAAACGCCGTCGCGGCCGTCCGCCGCGTAACGAATTTACGACGACGTCCCGTTTTTTTTTTTTTTTTTTTTTTTTTTTTTAATAAACTTCGATTTCGTCAAAAAAAAAAAAATAAATATTATTACGGCCCGTCCGCGCGCGCCCGGCACACGCGACGATATTGTTTTAATAAATTAAAATAAACCAGAGCGCGACGCGCGTATTATAGCTGCGGGAGTTGATCGCCCGGGGTGGGGGGGGGGAGGGAATGATTCCGCGAGCTGGTTTTCTACACCGGGCGGCGGGCGTTGGTGTAATTAACGATATTTTGGCGGACCGAGAAAATACGCTACTGCGCGTTTTTTTTTTTTTTTTGTTTTTTTAACACAATATTGTGTGTTTTGCGGTATTAATACACGTAACGGTGGTATTTTCACGGAACTAAACGCAAATTTAATACGAAAAACCGAGAAACAGTATACGTCATGATAATGCACACGCCGATGAATTTTTGTCAAATTCCGAACGTTGTATGTTTAAAAATAAAAAAAAAAAAAATTAATAATAATTATTAACAATTGTGAAAAGCAGAGTTCCCCGTCACTAGAATGGAATTGTTGTATTATTGTTATTGTTGTATTCAAATATTATTTTATACGGTTTTCGAGAAATATTACAAATTAAGCCAAATAAATTTAAAAAAAAAAAAAGGCTTTTCTTATTTATTTTGAAAATAGCTTTTGGATACTCAAAAAATAACCTTCTTAATGCACCAGCTAGAGAAAATTTCCTTTAAGGAAAATTACTACACTTGATACTTCGAAGCAAGGTCATAGGAAAACCAATAGATAATTCGCTTTGCTACGAATCTAAAAGTATCATTTTTTTTTTTTTAATAAATGACAATCATTTACACAAAATATTAAAATAATTTTTCATTGATTGTTTTGCCGTTGTATAATAAAAAAACGTTATTTTAAAAAAATTCTACTCGTCCGCACGTGTATTTTATTCGTATTAATATTGTTAATAAATATTTTACTTGGGACTAAAATGGTCAAACAATTCAATGATTTATTAGAAATTTATAAAATATGCAAACGATAATAGTATTATAATATAAGGGTGGCAACAACAAAAAAGTATAATAGTGCGTTAATAACCTTCTGTTGTTCATAAACAATGGAAAACCAAAAAATCGAATACGGACTATAAATTATAATTCGGTGCGCGATAATACGCCCGGTTTTCTACACCCGAACGTTATCTGTGCAAAGTTGGTGCTATTTTTTGTTTGTTTATTATTATTATTATTAATTTTTTTTTTTTTTTTTGTACTTATAAATTGTAATATTTCGTGTACACGTATCTCGCTTGAAAATTAAAATACCGAGGGGATAAAATAGCGTCGACTTTGCGCGGATAATGTCCATGTCTTTGGCAGTATTATGATTTGGCAAATCCGCTCTGACGTCGAGTCCGACGACACAACGTTGTCCTTATCGAAACCGGACGGTAAAAAAAAAAAAAACCGGATTATATCACTAAAAAAATAGACGGTTCTTATCAGTGCAGGCGCCAACGCGGAATAAACGACGCGGTCATCTTACTAGGGTAAATACGGCCGACAGCGTATTTCGGCGTGCGCGAGAGCCATTACCGCTGCCGTTGATTAAGCATAGCGACACCGACCTTTAGGCTACTTGAGGCCACGACCGGCCGTGACTGCTGTCGATTTGAGAGGGAACGCGTAGGGATATAATGTCGACTCGCGTTTACGCGGCCGAAGTGTCCGAGCGACGCGGCTCTACGGTCGGACCGTGAAACACGCGTTGTTTCGTCCGGCGCGCGAGCGCGAAAACCGGCAGCGTCCGTCATTTAACGAGCCGTTCGAGTTTCGAGTTCGGGGTACGAACGACAATTTGTATTTCGTCTCCTCGGCTCGTATGTAGGGCCCGGACGACAGTAAAAACTATTTGCGCGCGTTCATATTATGAAGAAAGGAGCGTTCAATGGAAAATCCCCGTTCCGACCGTAAACAAGTCGATGTCGACCCGAAAAACGTTCAAAAATCGCGAATACGTTTTTTTTTTTCGACTCTCCTGAAACCTATGAATATTGTGTCGGCTTTGACCCGTTTGCCGCCGGCGTCACCGCCGGACGCGTCGTACTGTTTTGTCCGCATTCGTGTAATTTCGATACAGTCAGCCGCCGTCTCCGAGAAAGTAAGTCGGTGAGTGACGTATCGCCGCGCCGTTAATTCCGGGGGGGGCGAGCGGGTACCGAAATAAAAAACCGTTTATCAGTTCATGATCCGAGAACGGTTTCGGGGTTTATTGGCGATGTTAACCGGTTTTTCGTTTATTTTTTCTATTTTTCGTTTTTTCGTTTTAACCGAACGCATATTGCGCCGGGTCGCGTACGACGTTCGCGAGACGGAGACGACACCCGCGCGACCGGCGGGTATCGCGGCCTCCCGTACGTTTGCCGCTCGGACCATTATCGTGATACATTAACATAACGCGGCCGGCTGGAACTCGTATATTACACCGTAATAATTTACGCCGGAGCGTAGTAAATTTTTTCGGGGGGGGTTTTTATTTATTATTTTTTTACACGCGTACATACGTACGACCGGCGGCGGCGGCGGCGGCGCGTACCCGTATAATCAGCCGATCGTAAATTAATAACGATATTAACGCCGGTTTTTTTCTTCTCTCTCTCTCTCCCTCTCTCTCTCTCTCTCCCTTTTTCTTCTTCTTCTTCTTCTTCTCCGCCGCTTTCGTTACCCACGCCCGTTACGATGTTGTCGTCGTTGTCACGCGCCCGTTGTTGTTCGCCCGGCCGACGAGACCCGAGTCCCCGGTACGGCGGTCGTCCGCGTCACGCGTCGGGAGGACGCGCATTGCGGTGCCCGCGCGTCGCGGTCCGACCGCGGACGGACGCGCCGCGGGACTGTTCGCGGCCGAAGGACCGTGCGGTCGCGTTTCGGGAACCGTTCGCGGTGGTCGCGGAGCGCGACGGTTTCAACCGTGCCGCGTACACCGGGGTCCGGGCGTAAGTCGTGTCGCGCGGCACTTAACGTTTGCGACGGCGGAAACGCGTTACGGGCGGGCGGTTCGCATGCCACCGTTCCGCCGCCGCCACGACATTGAGATCCGTTTGCGCGACCGGGAAAAATTGCGCGCCGCGCGAAGACGGCGTTCGGGTTCCGAGCGGAGCTTACGGTTTTACGAAAAACGTTTATTGTGTTTTTTTTCTTTTTTTGTCGGCGGACGACTGTTCCGCCGGCAGGTTCGCTCCGGCTTTTGAAAATGGCGATTTTTCTAAAAGGACGTCCGACCGGGGAACGTCGTTTATCATCGGTACTACTCCCTGAGTTTTCTCGACGTATTGAAAAAAAAACCGGAAAAAATATGGGAAAACCGGGGAAATCGGTACGACACTACTAAACGAATGTTATGATGGAAAATATACGGGAGCCAATTTAATTATTTTACTATAAAACGACATCTGCATTGTTGACGAACCATCACTATCAACTGAGCTCCGCTCAGAATCGTTTGTTCCGTAAGCAACGGCTCATCGTTGCTTACAGGTACACGTTAAATCGCCTGTAACAGTAGCTGCACCCGTTCACATTATCCTAGGATGTCTTTCTATAAGACAATTTAAACGTTAGAATCCGAATGCGTTATTGCGCATTCCCAGCCCTAATCGGATTACCATTTGAATGTCTGCCCGTCTCGATGTGAATATTCCCGCGAATAGGACGTTCTTTCAAACGGTGTTTATTTCGAACGTGTCTATCCTGTTTTAAAGTGCGTGCCATATTATCGAAAGACAATGTAATTTAGAGAATTGTTTTCTGTTTGAATTCGTTACAGCGCAACGGTTATACGCGTATAACGTGAACGCGTGTTGTTACCGCAACGAATATAATTTTCTAGATGTTTTTACGCGACTCGCTCGTGTCGTTATTGATTAGCAATGATGCGTCGAAGGCATTTGCATTCACCCCCCTCCCCCATCCAACTTGTAATCCTATATGCGGCGATATATGCTATCTCAACAATAAAAACCCGTTTCGCGGCGTATAGATTTAGAACATTATGTAAATTTAATTTTACATTTTCGGACATTTTTAACTACGTAATTCATTCTGTAATTTGTATACGCGTACGTTATACGAGAGTAAGCGGTTTTTCATAAATTTAAGATTTCAAGGAAAACGTGTTTATTATTATTATAATTCAGAGCTTTTTCATTTTTTTATTTTTTTTCATATGATAAATCTCGTGTGTTTTTTTGTTCACTCGATAATACATACATAATAATTGTCCAATAGGTATTTTAATATAAAACTCTAAACGTTTTCGAATAAAATAAAACCGTTTTCGTAGTTTCATGTCGTATTTTAAGACGTTTTTTTTTTTCACATAGATAACGGATCGTAGATCGTAATAAGATTTTTTGTTACGGGTGTCATCGTCACGGGCCCGAATAAATTCTTAATGGTAGGGGGGACATACCAAGTTATGGATGGGGCGTAAGAAATAAACAATATTATGACTTCACTCCTACATTGTTTTTTTTTTCCAATATGTAACGATTTATTAGAATGTGACCGTCTTCCGTTAAAAATTCTAAAGGGGTGCGGGGCAAACAAAGGGTCTAGGGAGCGGGGTCAATGTCCGCTTTCACCACCCCCCCCCCTCCCCCCGCGGGCCCGTATCGATATTCGGTGCCGCGTAAACGCATTCACCGCCCGGAGACAGACATTCGGTGTACCGCCCGTTTCTGAACGCAGTCGACCCCGTCCATACGTTGCCCAACGAGCGGAACAACGGTCGCCGCGTGTGTCCTTATCCGCCCGTCCGTCCGCAGAAAAACAACGTGCCGGGGCCGTGTTCCGGCGGTCCCTAAACACCGCGGGCCCGCCGCGGCGTCGCGCACGGCACGGGCACGCGCGTCGCGTTCCGACGGGGCGTCGTTACAAACCGTCCGGCCGGGAAAAACGAGTTTCGTAAATGATCGCGCGTCCCTTGTCGCCGCGGGCCTCGGCGCCCGGTGCGCGTTACGTACGACTACGCTCATTACGATATTATTATGTCCCCGGTTAATCCGCGGCGTACGCGCGTGCACGGCGGCGAGACTGCGGGCGGCGAGGGCCGTGAGTGAGGGGGGGGGGGAGGGGGCGACGGCGGTGGCGGTATACTCTGGCGCGACACTTTGGCCGAACCGTCAGAAAACGGATCCGCCGGCGGAGGGGGAGTTTCGAACGACTTAACTCGCGTCTCCTCCGTATTACACTCTCGCCCGCCGCCACGCTCTCCCCGCGTACGCGCGCACCGTACGTGTACACAGGCGGACGCGTGCAATGTACTTCCCCGACTCGCGGCCGACGCCCCGCGCGCCCCCGGCGGCCTGCGTGATATGCCCGCAGGTGTACTGTGCAACAACAACAATAATAATAATAATAATAATAGTCTCGCGATACTATTACGCGAAACCGTACCGCGGACGACCGCGCGCGCGCGCGCTTAACACGTATAACGTTATTGTTTTAATCGGACGTAACGTGACGATCCGTCACGGCGGCCCGCGAGCAAAGGCCTTTTTTTATCTTCCCCTCCCCCCCCACCACCGTTTAAAAGGGACGAAAGTGCGACGGGCCGCACGAGCGGCGAACACCGCGAAAACCGCACGGTTTTTTCCGCCGGGACCGGCGGGACACGGCGCGCGCTGACCGGCCCGACGCACGTCTCCCACCGTCGCGTTTCCGGCGCGCCGGCCGTTCCTCTGCGCGGGTCCGCGCTGTTGCGTGTTTACCGGGAAAACGCGTACGCGACGCGGCGGGCCGTCGTCCGCCGACGAAAGATTCGCTTCCGCGGACAGCCGGAGGTCGTGCTTTGTGTCGCACAAACACGCGTTGTTCTAGCGTTTGCGTTTAATTGAGTTCTGGTATTTCGATGCGCTTATGACATTGGGTTTTCAATAGCTGTGCGGTGCTCGTATCGTTGGTTCAAACACATCGTACAATACAATTTTCAATTTTATTTCGCTCTTTATTTTATTTTTTGGTAATTTTTCGGGCAAAAAAAAATACATTTTAGATTCTAAGTGCAGCGAAAAAGCTTATGGTTTTACAAAGATGTTTATTTTTTTTTATTTGTGTGCAACTTTTCCCACCAGAAGACTTGCACGGATTTTTCCGTGTAGCTCGTTTTCTGAAAGTAAATCGGCGTGGGGAGGTACTTTGAGAAAGTCGTTTTTCGATTTTCCCAAGAGTTTTCTCAGCAATTGTGAAAAACCGGGAAAACCTGGCAAATCGGTACGACATTAAACACATATTATTAAAGAAAATATATAAAGCATATTTAATTAGTTTACTATAAAATGACATACATATATATATATTGTTGAAAAAACATCAATATCAACTCAACTCCGCTCAGAGTCGTTTTTTCATAAGAAATAGTTTATTGTTGCTTACAGGTATACATTTAGTTATCTATAACAGTGGCTGCACCCGTACCGATTATCCTAGGACGTGTTTTATTAAGATGCTTTTCGAGTTAGGGAACTGTAGGTTGTTGCACATTCCCAGCTCTAGTCGTATTATCATTTGAATTTCTGTCCGTCTCGATATCTATCTCACTTTGTCCTTCTCTATCTCCCTTTCTCTCACACACACACACACACACACACACACACACACACACACACACACATACACTCCACACGACAAACGAATGTGCGTTTATATTTTATGTGTTTAGATACCGTACATATTATATATATACAACACCACACACACAACATATTATACATATATGTGTGCACAATGGTTTGTGTTCGCGTTTCGAGAAGAAGACGCATTTTCGAACATTTATCATTCGTTAGACCTAATGGTTTAATTTTTTTTCTCCCCGCCGCCGCCGTATTTGCATGAAAATAATATATTTTATAGCGGGGTAAATTTACGTTTATTTTTTTTTTCTTCTTTTTCTACTTATATATATATATATATAGAGAGAGAGAGAGAGAGTTACCTACTCGTATAAATAATAACACTTTTATCAACGAGACTATACGCTTTACGTAATATTATAATATAGTATGTACATTAAAAAAAAAAATTATTAAACTCTCTGCGCCCTGCGTACGAGCAGTAGGTATACAATAGCGTGTACAATAATATTATAGTAGGTATTTATAAAACGTGATGTCGTCGTATAATAGTATAGTGGGTACTTAATACTTACACTACGCCCGACAAACCCAAACGAACGTTGAGAAAATGATGGTTTTTTTTTTCATCAGATTTTGTAATGTGATAAAATTGACAATATGGAAATGGGGAAAAAAAAAAAAAAAAAAAAACACCGACACAGATAAACTGGATTTGGAAACGGCGGATACGAGCGTACTACGCGTACACGCATTATAATAATTTACCATTGTATACTACAATCGCTACAATCGCGCGTTAGGAGATAATAATTGCGGGGCGCGTTTGATCCGGCATACAATATTAATGGACCATTATAATTGTAAATTCGATTTCGAATCTTTACGGCGCGCTCGACCCGTCAAAGAGAAAAAAAATAATAAACCAACAGGACTTTAGAAAATCGTTAAACAAAGCGTATATTATACGCCAGTTAGGTACTCGTAGGACGGTAAAATGCGTAATTACGTTAGCGCGCGATTGGCGTGGCGCCGTTGCGTATGCGTTAAAAATCGCTGTCGGATCCGAAACAATACAATCACGTACGGTATCACGCGATTCAAAGTCGCTACGAAATTCTTATGTTCTATATTTCAAGCGGCAGCGCGCGTAGGATTTTTTTATCCCGGATTGGGTTTTTGTTTACGATAATTTCCCAGAGAGAGAGAGAGAGAGAGAGAGAGAGGATAGCACACGTTATCAGTACACTATTATTATTGTGTAAATTAGTTACGATGGAATCAAATGTTATTTTATTCTGTGGCGTACAATATAATGTCGTTGAACGTGGAACTCGATTTGAAAAAATGTAATGAAGGAAGACATTCCGGATGGGGTTACGAGACCCCCTAACCTGCCCGCTGTGCGCGCCACCGATTTCAAGCACTTGGATGTTTGTCTCGTTTGCTGAAAACCTCGTTCGAATGACGCTCTTACCTATACATATATAAATGACAACAGTCAAACCGTGAGCGATTGTAAGTATACTCGCACCATAGAACGTTATTATCGTTTAAAAATATGTTTTTAACGGTACAATTAAATCGTTCGGTTCCAAATTAGCCGGTTCTCCCTGAAATGCGGACCGATAAGGAGAAATATCGCGCAATCATCACGCATACACGGTTGTAGTTTTTGTCTCCGTTATCCTAGTGTACGTCATCTTTTTCCTTTTTTTTTTTTTCCCCCCCAAGGATAACGTTCGCCGGACACTATCGCCACGGTGTTTACGGTCTTTTCACACTTTCCATATTGATAACCGCACGTCATAACCATTGCCACGGTAACGCGTATACCTATTATCTCCGATAGACTCGGTGGAGTCCACAAGTAAAATTTCAAGAGTGTAGGGGGGGGGAAGCAACATCAATTTCTATCAAGCGTTTTTACGTTTATTCGTACGCTTTATAACTACAATAGATCACAAATTGCAGTTTTTTATGATACATAATAAAACGCGAGGAAGTCTTGCGTAGTACTGCCCTATGGGCGCCGTTCGTGTTTTAATGCGTATACGGTTTTTACGGGTTTCCGTCCAAAACATTACGCGTACATATTCCGAATTTAATGACTTGCCGCGCTTATAAAATATTATCTCGCAGTGTCATTCAGGCGGGGCGAAAAATACCTTAAGCGCCTACGAAAGTATCAATGTCGAGCGTCTCATAAGATATTTATCGTTTTCGAGTCGCACTGCAATAGTATAATAACATGTATTCTAACGATTCGTATAGTAAAATTATATTCATTTAAAATTAAATTATATTTTATTATCTACGTAAAAAAAAAAAAAAAAAATATGTGTGAAAATATAAATGTGCCTATGTAATAGATAGATAATAGTATATTTCGTTTCGATTTTTTTTTTTTTTTTTTTTTTTTTGTATATGCATAAATATTTTTGACGGCGGACTCGTAAAGTTTTCAATTTTACCTCGGGGACCTCGAAGAAAATTTAACATGTTAAACTTTAACAATATTTTTACTTATTTATTTCGAGTAAGTGTAGGTTAGGTCGGTAGACAGGCAGGTAGGCAGGTATAAACTTTTGCGTATTTTTTATAGTTTTTATTATAGAAGTCCATTTTTTTTTTTTTTTTTTTTGCCTGGGACAACGCGGATTCATAAATTTCACGGCGCGCCACGTATTACTATTATTACTCCTCGGGATTGTCGGTTAATATAATAATTTGTTCGCCCCGTCAAATCAAATAACGGTACGCGGCCTATCTACAGGCGATCTAATCAGAAACTTCCCGTTTGCCGGGGTCTCGCGGAATGTCTGAGAAGAAGTAGTTCGGTATAATTATATTATATTGTGCAGCGATCGAATCGCGGTGTAGACGGATTATCTATTATTTTCTAAAAAGAAAATTTAGCGTATCCCTTATCGTTTTTCACAACGGATATTGAGCCGGCGTAATAGCGAAAATCGACCCCCGCAATATTTACGTGCGCCCACCGATATTTAACCGCCACGGAGGGGAGTGTACAATTCAATCGGTGAAATTTGCTCGAAAATAAATATCGGGGGGGGGGGGTGGGTTAATAATCACTAGTGAAACATTATGCCCCTCATCAAACGTAAACTGGCGCATGGGCGTTAACGTAAATCGACGGAGGTGTGAGATTAATTAAGATCGCCGTTTCCAAGTATCGAATTTACCGATTTCAAAATAAAAAAAAAAAAAAAAAAAAAATGAAATTTTACCCAATTTCTTTTTTTCGTTCTTTGGTTAGTAATACGTTTGGAGATAAAATTATATAACGCGCGAGGCGTATCACGTAAAATAAAATACCGAAAAACAAAACAATACTATAAGAAGTTATTAGTTTTTCGAAATTTAAAATCAAATTACCACCGAATTGGCGACTCGGCAACTTAATTTCTTCTCGTTCGGTTTCACCGCCATTATCACGTTTTCGGAACGACCCCCCTGATGATAATATATAGGTGTATTGTTATTGGACGATTAGAAACGAAATTCGCGAGTTTTATAATTCGTTAATAACCGTTAACGTAATTTTTTTTTTTTTTTTTTAATTGTGTTTCCGTACTGTCGCCTCTAGCGCGCTACTATGGATTGTAAATCTGATAGAAAAATACGATTTTCATTTGCCTCGTCAACGTAATGCTATCACGTCAGCCTACTATAGACGACTGTCGCTATTTTCTCAAACTTCCCGGGACAATGAAATACGAGTTTTCGATCGGTGTTAAAAATTCTATAATTTGTTCATTGCCATGTTTGTATAGCAGCAATGCGTAACTCCCGAAATTCATTGTTAGTACCCGCAAGGTGTATTATTGATGTCTGTCAATGTTTGTTGACGGATTCGGGAAAAATGAAATAAAATTGCGATTCGTGTTTCGATTATATAGTCACTGTGATTAGCGTACATTTTAATATCGTACTATAATATCCGTTAACGAATTTCACGAAAACGCACGGAATACATTGAAAAAAAAAAAAAAAAACAAGAAAGCGTTCGATCGTCAATAAAAATTAAGACTGCCCATGCTGAATTCGCGCCTTCGGGCGCCCTTGGTCCTTACCCGCGCCCGTGTCGGACGGTTACTTATCGTATTCGGCCGTTACGGCCGAGTACGTTTACGCGATTGTGCCCGGCCGATCGCCCGGCTTCGATCGTCGAACGGGGGGAAGGGGGGAGGGGGCCCGCTCCGTGCTGCGTTTACGACAATAACGCGACGCGGTTTCGCGCGCAAATGATTCGGACGAACGGTCCGGCATAATGGCGTTTTATTTCCGCGCGTCGATTTCATAAATCGACGCCGTCGCCAATTGCCCGGGTCTCCGCGTTCGCGCGCCGCCGTTCGATCACCCGCGGACTGCGGACACGCGCGCGATACGGACCGGCGGGCACGACGGCCCGATGATCGGCTTTACGCTCCGGCCAGACGGCCCGGGAAACGGCGCGCGCGCGCGCGGGTCCGGGTCGGGACGCCCGCGATGTCGCGGCCCGACTTTACGCGTGCGCGCGCGATAACAACAACGACAACGACGACGATAACATACGGAGCCGACCGACTTCGTGCGGCCCGACGCGGGCGTACGGCGTCACTGACGGTGTTTGTCTTCGCGCGCGCGTACACACAAATAACGATAAGATATCGACAATTCCCCCGCGCCCACCTGCCTGCCGGCCGGCTTACGGCGTATCGTCGTATATAAAGTGCGATGTTTTTTATGTTTTTTTTTTTATCACGAACCGGCAATTATCTCGGCAATTTTCGAACCGAATTCGATTTCTGTTTTTTTCAACCGTTAACGATTTGTTTCGAAACCGTTTTTAGCTGTTCATCCCTACCCCAAACACCTCGAATAAGTATTCAAGTAATAATTTTCAAATGGAAACCCCCCCCCATTCTCGAACACGGATTTCGATATGCGAAACGCTTCTAATATCAGGTTTACCGTTAATGAGTTAGAACAGTCTGAAGTTTAGACCGTCGCCCTGTAAATGTGCAGTTAACAAACAATCATTCAAACACTTATAGCAACAATATAAGCACGGAAACAATTACTTGCAATAGAATTAATTATATTAAGTTGAATTATTTGATTAAGCATACAACATGAGCTGACATTATAACTGATGGTAATAATGCAAATCCTAATATGAATATTTTCGCAACTCCACTACAAAATCTATTACAACAATCTACTGTTACAAATCTGCTCAAACAAAAAATTAATGACAATCCATATATATATATGGATACAACCAGGTATGATAAAAACTATTAAAAAAAAAAAAAAAGATAAGTTGCACAAATTATCCAGACACGAACCGTTTAATATTATATTGAAAAATAAGTAAAAAAATTACAACAATAAATTAACCGAGATTATTGCGAAAACAAAACATACTTACTTTGGTGAAAAAATACAAATGAACACAAATAATACAAAAAAAAATCTGGTCCGCCATTAAACAAGCGACTACACAAAATACATCACATCTATCAATTCTCAGTTTAAAAATAAATAATAACACTTATAACTCTAATACAGATTCATTTTTTTTTTTTGCCAACGAATTTAATCACTATTTTTTTAAAAATGGATTATCCCAATGAAAGTATGCCGTTTAATTGTAACAATGTTATTGTCAATAATCCGCCACACTCGCTATTTTCATGGAAAACAACTAAATCAGAAATATGCAGAATAATTTCTAATATGAAAAATGACACAGCGTCAGGTATAGTTGGCACATCAATTAATGTTATTAAAAAATGTTAAGACTTTGTGTCTAGTATACTAGAAATAATCTTTAATCAAATTATAATAGAATAGCTTATTCCGGATTCATCCAAAACTGCATTAGTAACGCCGTTGTATTAAGGAAATTGGCTTAGAACGAATTTTACTAATTACAGACCAATTAGTTTACTGAATGTATTTTCTAATATATTTGAAAAAGTAATTAAAACAAGACTACTAAACTAATTAGAGGAAAATGACTTACTACCTGCCTCTGAATTCGGTTTTAGAAATGGTTTAGGTACTGAACATGTCTTGGCACATTTCACGGACGAAATCTATAATAACTTAGACAAACGTAAAAACTCAACTGTCATATTCGTATACCTCATTAAAGCATTCGATAGTGTATCTCGCTCTATTTTACTAAATAGTAAGCGAAATAGGCCAAATTAATAATGGAGTCCCTCAAAGTACAGTTCTGTCGCCAATTTTATACATGATGTACGTAGCTGCTTTAGGCAACCTTAATATCATTGGTAAAACGTATTCATATACTGACGACACGGCCACCATAGTCTCGGATTCTACCTGGGATACGGTTTGGAATAAATCTGAAGTTGACATGTTAACAATAGATAAGTGGTTTTCGGCTAATAAATCAAAAATAAATTATGATAAATCCAAATTTGTTACTTTCAGCAATGATTTAAAAACTACACCCCAAAACAAAATAGATTACTGTACACAATCAATTAAATTGCAACTCCATAACCTGCACCTGCCGTAAATTATATAAACAAGCTTTCTCTAAATATATCGCCATTAAAATTGATCAAAAAATTTAACATGAAACACTCATATCGAAAACTTATTAATCAAACTAAGACAATTGGCATACATTTTTACTATAGCAAACAAAAAAGTATTAAACAAAAACTTTATTAGAATAACATATTATGCAACGGCTTAATCGTTAATCCGATATGGCATAATAACTTGGGGGGGGAGTGTTGTAATAACTCTCTAAAAGATAAAATTTCAACTAGCCAAAAGAAAATAATACAAACCGTCTAAAATAAACCGAAAACATTCCCTTATTGCGAATTATTTAAAATGTTACGAGTACTTGACATTAACTATTTATTCAAAAAAAAACAAACAATATCCTTTATTTACAAAAATAATTTATTTAATTCTAAAAATCAAAAATATAATTTTAGAAAAATAATCTTGTAATACCATTCGTTAGCACCTACAAAGCTTCAACGTCTCATCTACAAGTTGTTTTGAGGTCATTAAATGTTATTCCAAAATAATTACTTATTCGTTTAAATTATTCACTCTTTAAATATAAACTTGAAAATTGGTTTTACGATAATCTTCTAATGTACAGTGGTAATTATTTCTGAATTTAGTAGCATACAACACTCACCAATTCCTTATTTATATCCAATCATTTTTAATCACGTAAGTTTTATTTCTTCTTGCCATTATCGTTACTAACTTTGAATTTAAATAAAATAAGTACTCATACTCTACGACACTGTTCGACTTCGGTGTAGAGTAACTTCTAGTAATAATCCATTTGTAAACAATTTGTACATTGTACACTTCAAAACTAGAATTTTAAATAAATAAAGACCGGAGGCGTAGATAGGAAATTTACCAACCACTATTTACCTAACGCGAACGAGTGGGAGAGGGGTTTCCGTTTGAAAACCATAAAGTTATTTGCAGTGGCGGCGAAAAACTGAAAAATGGTTTTAGAATATAGCCTAAACGATTACGTCACAATGATTAGATTAAACCAAAATCAAATTCAGTCCGAATGCCCCGAGACAATTGCTGCCGGTTCGCGACGAAACGTAAAAAATCACCCTGTATACGCATAACCGTGTCATGCTGTACGGGTGCGCGTGCGTGCGTACGACACTGAACTTTGTCGAATAATCTTCGCCGCGGTATTATTTTCTTTTGCCCGCATAATTTATATTTTATATATAATTTATATCATATATATATAATGTGTGTGTGTGTGTGTGTGTGTGTGTGTGTTTATTTTTTTTTTTCGTTCGTTTCTCCATCGCCCGCCCCTACGTCGGAAAAGTTTTCGCGCGACGCTTCAATCGCGACGGCCAACTTTTACCGCGCTTTTATACGCGTGCTTGTACACATAAAAACCGCTCCGCGTCCACGCGTTGCACTGCGGACGTTAAATAGCGTGACGGCAACGCCGCGGTGCTCACCGGTCCGCCGCGATTTCCAATCGGTGTGAAACGTTACCGCGGCATCCCGGCGATACGCCGCGACGCGGTTTTGGGCCGGTTAACGGCCAAATTGACACGGCGGCCGGTGCGGGACGGGGGGGGGGGGGGTGGCGGGGGCCCGGGACGAACGCGCGCCGAAGAACCCCCGCGCGAAAACGATCATCCGTCCGGGCGTAGCCGTCGTCGGCGAAATCATCAATCAGAAAACTTTCCGAACGACAAAAGCCCGTCGAGGCACGACGACGACGACAGCGGCGGCGGCGGCGGCGACGGCGGCGAGAAGTTCTGACGGCGAATTTTTTTTTTCCTCTTCGCGCCTCTCGGTCGGCCCCGCGCGCAATCTCGCGCCGCCGCCCGTCTTTTCGGGTCTTAATATTACGTTACGCCGTTTAAAGAGTGCCGAGTGTATGGATAAGCCGAGGCGCGCGTATATCGATCCCCGGCCTTGCGATTGTTTCAGAGGCCGGGCAAATTGTCGTTCCGAACGAAACGTTCCGTTAATTTATTCGATAGAATACGCGCGGCTTGTCGCATAGTCCGGAAATAGAAAATTTAACTCCTCCACCCCGAAAAAAAAAAAAAACACATAAACGTAAAACGGGTAGGGGGCGATTTGGGCACGGAGAATTCGTTCGGTTTTGCCGGGAAATAAATTACTATATCTATGTGGGAATTGAGTTTAAATCGGCCAAGACAATAAAATACTTGCTATACTAAACGTTTGAATTCGCGAATGCAGTTTATCGAAAATGAGTTTTTAATTCAAATAACGTAACAAATTATAAATAAACCGAGTCAACAGTTTACAAGTAAAATGGAGATAAAATTATTTTCACCTCCTATGTAAATAAAGCCAAGTTAAAAACCGTAAAATACACCATGAACGTTCGTGGTGGTTACAATACTAAATAAAATTGAAAAACGATGTGTTCCGAACGAAAATCTAATAAAATATTTTAACTGGTTACACCCGAAATCATTCTCTAACATCAAGTCAACAGCAACGTAATGACGCGTTAAAAGCGATTTGTGTGTGAATCGACAGGAGTACGCAGACTATTGCGATCCGTTTGATGTCAAAACAGTTTATTTCTCAACTAAACTACACAAAATGTCCTACCCGTTCGCCAAACATATCCTTTGACGGAGTTCATTCGTTTACAAATTAAATAAAGTAAGTGAATATATATATAAAAAAAAAAAAAAAAACGCGTGTAGGTACAATGTTTTATTTATACATTCATTAACTTTATTTATTTACGAGTATTAACCATTGTAATAATTTTGTTTTTACATTATTATTTTACGATACGAATTACCCGACCTGAGTTGGCGGTTGTAAGCGCAGACGTTCGATTTATCGTGCTTCCGTTACGGCCGTCAAGAACTACCGTTTCAATTAAATCTGTCTTGTTACCTACTTATAGGTATTGCACCTTTCATATTGATTTCGCGCGTTAGAGGTACGGTTTCTTGGAAATAAAAGATTTGAAATCTCCAATATCGATTCGAAACCGTGCGTTCAACCGTGAAACGAGGACGCTCGGGTCCGTTAACACGCACCGACGGCCGCGGAAAAATTCGTAGACTATCGGCGGGAAAATATTTGTCGACGAAACGTGGCCGGCCGGTTATGGCTGTTAAAAAAGGATCATAGCGACGCGCGGGTTGTGCGAACCGAACGCGGCAGTCCGCACGTCTCCCCGGATGTTTATAAAGTATTCGCGCGCGTGCGCTCTGGTAGACGCGCGTTTTCGTCGGTGCACGGACGCGCCGTTTGCATTCGAAATCCCTGTTCACTGCGGCGAAAGTCGCGGGCAAAGGGGAAAAAAAAAAAAAAATTCGCCTCCCGGAAACTTCACGTTCCGGAGGCCGGTTACGATAATAAAATACGCTCTCCTCGGGGAACTCGCTACACGGCTCGACTTCCGGTATCGGCCGTTATGGCCAGGCCGGGCTCGAAAAACCCGTGGCCGCCCGTCGCGGTCTCCGAAATTCAAATTGAACTTCTCGCGGTCCGCGTCGGATTCCCCCCGGCGATGCAACGGAGACGCCGTTGTAGTCGCGCGCAGTGCGACTCGTACGACGTTCCACGGTTACGGGAGGTGCCGCGTTTCCGGTTTTTTGTGTTTTTTTTTTTCGAAATCGAAAACGCCCCGGAATTTTCGCACGCGACCGACGGGTCGGGGCGACCGGCGCGGGCGGATGTGCATACAAAAAAAATTACCTACGTACGTGCGACGAATCGTCGTCGTCGTCCCGGCGGTCGTCGTGCGGAAACGCGTTCGCGCGCGCATATTATTATTCGAATCATACGGTACCTGTGCGCGACCGCGAGTCGCGTGCGCTCCAGTTTCCCTTCCGGTCGCGGTTCATTTTTCGCACGCACGTTCATCGTTATTCCTCGTCCGTACGTCCGCGCGCGTGCGCGTTACGGCGGACGTCGGTAAATAACAATCGCCCGGATCGGACTACCGTAGCAGATGAACAAGAACAAGAAGAAGGAGAAAAACCCCCTGAAGAAAACCACCGGAATTCGACGGAACGTGCCGCGGTTCGATTGACGCCGCCCGCCCGCGAGAAAATGACTCCGTCACCCGTCGGCATTGCGACAATATTCAAATTTCCGTACACACACACACACACACACACACACACGCGCGCGGCTCCCCCGAATATCGTTATCGTGTCGGGCCGTCGCGCGAAATCTTTCGATTAATCATGGTGTCCGATACAATTGCAAATTAAATTGTTGTTTTTTTTTTTTTTTTTTTTTTCGCCTTTTTTTTCCGCCTTTATTTCCCCCCCCCCGCCCCCCGCTATCCTTTCTTCGTTCGCCTCGTAACCGTAACGATTAATGAATGCGAAATATGACACTCGCGGTACAATAATAATTTCTCTTTTATAAAGTTGTCGGTTGTAGTATACGCGCGTATACTTGAAAACAATTAAAATTTACGCGCGAACGAATACAATAGCAACAATTTATTATTGTTATAAAAACTAAAAACGCATCGTCGCAATTCTTCGTCCTCGGAATGATTATTTCGTCCGTTCTCTCTCTTTCTCTATCCGTCCGTTCTAAACTTTTAAAATATAATAATAATAACAATTGTATTATAACGATAACGTTACGCACGGGAATAATTTCTGACCGTCGGATGTTCGTCGGAGAAAAAAAATTGTATTTTAAGCGTGGTCGAAAGCCGTTTTTTATTTTTTTTTTTTTTTCAAGTCCGATATATCTGTTAAATATTTCTTTAAAAATTCGAGTTGCGTATTCATAAATGTTACACACCTCTGAAATCGAATATAAAACTGCGTGCGCGGTATACTGCAATTATGTAACATGTAGTTCGGCATCGAGTATAGACACGATCAGAACATTTTGAAGGGGAAAGAAAAGGTGCTTCTACTTCTGTTTTTGCGAGGATTTTTATCTCAAAACAACTGTAGAAACAAACAAAAACGACGTTATCGAAATAAATTTGTTGGACCGATTGCTTTATTATAATACGTTTGTGGAGTGTGGGCCGCGACGAAGTTTGATGGAAAATAAAAGGTTTGGGAATCGTGTAAAGAAAAATATCAAGAAAAAATAAACACTTGTACAGAACAATAACGATGGTGGCAATAGGGACACGAGATCATAAAATAAGGGAGCGGATGAACGATACGGATACGTGAGAACAATGGTCCGAAAAATCGGTAGGTCGACTGAGTGGAGATGCTAGGATATTGGACGAAAGATTGTTTGGACAAACAGCGATACGGACACCGTCGGAACATATCAAACGGCCAAGGGGACAACACTTATAGACAAAGACGGTCGGACACGGAGCTTAGGACAATGGTAGACGGAGGCGACGACGGTGTACGTAAATGGTCCCTAAGAAGCCTTTACGTCGCGTATGGTGACACGGAAGTTTCGGGAAAAATGTCGGTTGCTACGAGATTCCGCGCGATAAAGTCGGATAAATAAACGGCCAAACGATTATCGAAACGTAACAACCGGAGTGCGTCAAGCGTAAACGTCAATACGCATTTGGGTAATTAAAAAAAAAAACCCGAAATCGTCATACATCTACTAAAATCTCTATGGTTGCCGGTTCGTAATATTGTTTTTTGCCGCCTCCGCTCCGGCGATTGTCGCGTAAAGGTATACAGCGCGCGGTAAAACAAACCGTCGGAAACCGCTCGTCCGGTGTTTCGTCGTTCGTACCGTTACGTCTTAAAGTGCTGCCGCGGCGTTTTAAGTCGGATCGCGCGTGGGCGGGTATCGATATGTTATTTTCTCCGCGGCGGTACAGGCGCGGTACACCACTCCGTGCGTGAACGTGCCCCGCCGACATCGATAATTTTCCCTTCCGCGTTTTTCAATCGTCCGCAGCAGTTTAGGTAAATAACGTAAACATCTCGTATACTGTATGTGCGCACGTATGTATGCACGTATTTATTATTATTATTATTATATTGTAGCGCACAACGTAAATTCGCTTTTAACATCAAACGAAATATCGCGTAAAACAAAAGCTGCTGTTACTGAGTTGCCCCATACCCGATAATATATATCGCGTGCACTGCAGCTACACAATATTATATGGGCATAGGCACTCTATGTACAAATATAATAGTTTGCATATCAGTTATTTTGTACACATACTGCTATATATATTGTTTAGCAATGTCGTTATTTTTTATCATGCTCTCGTCGTAAATTTAGCGTTTAAAAAAAAAAAAAAATATACAATATAAACATTATTCGTTTATCTCCGGAGACTATACAATATTGTATGTTTTATTATTGTTATTATTATTTTTTTTTTCTTTTTAATTTTATTTTCCAGCGTGACTAATAACAAGAATAAATATTGTATCTACTCTCCGGCATGTATGCGTATAATACGGTTTTGTTGTTATTCTATTTTCATGCGAAATTCAATTTACGTCTTCTGGGATAATATGAAAACAAAAAAAAAAAAAAAAAAAAAAAAAAAAAAAACTAAAAAAAATAATAAACTTATTTTTATACTGCGCCGTTTTAACGGCAGAAGAACGAACGAATATCGTAATAATAATAGAGTCGTGTAAACTGCAAAAAAAAAAAAATAAATAATAATAATAATAATAATAAAATAAAAATAAAAAATAAATGATCCGGTCGACCTTTGATGTTTTTTAGTCAAAGCGGGAAATATTCATGGAAATATTATATGCATAGCAGTTTGTGTAAAAACGAAAAAAAAAAAAAACAAAAAACCAAATCGTTATGTTCAGAAATATACGATTGAATACGTTTACTTTGTGAAGCAGATTTTCAAAATTACGCGTAAACAGCACCGCCGGTATAATGACGCGGGGCACGCGTATTTCAACCGATTGGTCGACGTAAACACAATAGCACCGCGGTCCGTCTGGACACCGCGGAACCCCGTGACGTGTGGATTCCAACGTTTCGTGACGGACGCCGGACCGGAAGGTTGAAGTTATTACACGGGTTCCGCGACGACGGAGCGCCAGCGACGGAACGAGCCTAAAACGGCCCGGTACCCGTCGCCCGCCAAAAGTTCCCGATGCCCTCAATGCATCCCGATAGTTTCTGTTTGGAAAAAATGAAATACACACAAATATTAAAAATAACATTCGTCGGCGTTCCGAGTGGAAAAAAAAAAAAAATCGCTCGACCGTCGGATAATGAATTCACGGTAATATTCTGATGCGAACCGGAACATCCGATTAGCGGACATGAAATTATTGAAGAAGTGAACGGCGGCCTTTTTTCGCTTTTGTTTTTTATCGATATCAAACCTGTTCGCTCCTCTCCCCTTACTCTATGGTGACAACGAATTGTGATTTTTTTCGCTTGACGTCCCGGCCGCGCTGAATGGGAACCTCGGCAGTCACGGGCAATGCTTTTGACCGTCGATTGGCGGCCTGTGTACGTTATCATAAATTGAGCTGTCGGTTTTGTGCAGCGTGCAATACATTATTGTAATTTTGTTTCGAAACGTGCAATTATACATTCGTACACCTGAGTATGATGGACGCGGCATAGCGCGTTTTAAAACGTTTCTCGGTTTTTTTTCCACGCGCTCGGCGCTATAAATATTTACAATCGTATTGAACTCGTTTTCGCCACGGTCGGATCAGTAAATTATAATCGTCATTGTTAGTGTTTTTTTTTTTTTTTTTTTTTGGTTATTTGCATTTGGGTTGACTTAAAAAGGGAAAAAATTCATACGCGCACGCATTGAGTGTCCCTCCGCGAATAACGTGTGTGTGTGTACAGAGACATGGACGGGGGGAAAAAAAATAATATAGAATCGAGCGTTTCGACCGAGTTTGGGTAGGTATATAATGGTTGGTACAATAATGGTGCTGCTGCACAGACTCGGGAAATTATAATAGGACGTGCGTTTGCATACGGAACGAAAAAAAAAATAAAAAAGGAAAAAAGAAGCTAAACCCATAAAACCCGAACAATAGAGGCTTACGTGGTTTTATTGTTTTCGGTATTTTTTTTTTTTTTTTTTTTTTTTTATTAGGTATTATTATTCTTTTTTTTTTTTTCACTTTTTTCGACCTTTTTCGATCGTCGATTGTACAATTTCGTTCGGCTGCTCTGTGCAGCACCGTGCCGTAGTCATATTTTGAATTTCAGCGTTATTAATAATCATCGCCGCGGGAGAACGAGCGGAGAAAGAGAGAGAGAAAAATAGATAAAATAATTTTTCACAGTCACGGAATCGTGTGAACATAACTTATCCGCCAAAGACGGTTATGGGCAGGTTGTAAAAAAAAAAAAAAAAAACCAGGTGTAAAAGTGTTATAACGATACGCAAAACCTACAAAAGTATGGATGTTATGTGCTCTAGAAAACTCGCTTGACAATAACAATTGTTTTTGTTGTGGTTACGTGACCCCTCCGACCTTCTTTCCCACAAATCCTACCAACCGCGGTCACCCGGTCACACGGTGTATTATTATTATTATCATATTCTACGGTGCGACTCAGTATTGTTATCAGGAAATTCGGAACGTTAATCGGCCACGATCCGCCCGAAGGTCTACGAGCTCGTACAGCGGCGCCTATTGGTGACCGGTAGAATGAAATAACGCAAACGTTATGATCGACGGTACCGCACTTTGTTGTTATTATTTTTTTTTTGCTTTCATCCAATCACTCATTTTAAATTGAATAAAAAGACGAGGAAATAAATGCAAACTGACAAAAAATTTAAATACGAACAAAAATAAAGGACAATATTTGTCACGGAAAAAATAAATAAATATTGTTATTACCGCCATTAAAACTACCGTTGTAGGTGTAACATAATACACGTATATTGTATAGGATTGTGATAAGGGAATAAACGGCGTCAGACTATCGGTAATGCGGTTACGAAAAACCGCGAACGTTTACGGCCAACAGTGTCGCCGTTTATCAAAATTTCTCGTATACCGTTATCGGTAACGATTTCTAGGGGGGACGTTCGACGTTTACGCATTCCGAATATTATATCCCGGATACCCCGGTTTACTTCTGAATGCCAATACCGCGTTTGTCGGCGTTGATAAGGATTCTCACCGAAACGCTTGTTGTAATATATACAAACGGGCACACGCGGGCGTAAACGTGAATTTTTTTTCTTATAAAGAAATGTGTATTTTTTTTTTTTTTTTACATATTCCTCGGACACATTACAATACAATTTAATACGCCCGCGAGTTCGGAGCTGAGTCGTTAAGCCAATTAGTATAGGTTATATCATTAAAAGTTAATTGAATTCAACCAATACTGACGGGAAACCGTGTCATTTGAAAACGACTGTCGTCGTAACTATACGTGCACTATCCGTGATGTCAGCGCGGGCAATAAAAAACGATCCATTTATATTATGTACAGACTATTGACGAGACCAAGAGTTGACGAATGGGAGTGACTTTTGGTCGATTTCGGCTTTGTTGGAAAATACGGTCTCGCGGCTTCGGTTACTGATCGACTTCGTAAAAATACCGCGCGGACAGTACCGCTCGTATTGCGCGGCATTATTATCGATATTTTAGATTCCGTGCGCAGTCGGGTGTGTATTGGCCACTTACAACGGTGCGCATTCTTCTGTTAATTTGGACGACATTTTTACCGGCGTCTGTTACTTGCCGTTCTCGAGAGCAGCATTTTTTCCGAAAGAAAATCTGACTGGAACGGTACTTTAAGGAGGCAACTTTTTTGATTTTCTCAGAGGTTTTCATCGTAAACGGAAAAAAAAAACGGGAAAATGCACGAGATGTGTTATTTTCAAACCGTAAATGTTACGAACTCCGCTCGGAATCGTTTTGCGTCACAAAAATATTAATCTTTGCGTACAGATAAACATTCCCAACTATTTCCTACTTTCCCAAACTTCTCGTCTACAACAGTTACTCGCCCACCGTGCGAATTATGTCCGTGTTTTTTTAATATTACTCGGTTAAGAAAAATGAATTAACCGCAACGTTATTATAATGTGCTTATATATTATTAAAAAAAAAAAAAAAATAAAAAATATACGAGATAAAATCAATCACACGACAACAATATTATGCCGCGTTCGTGCCGACATCGCAGAGTACAACAATAATTTAACCTATTATTTGGAAATTGGCATTAAAGGTTGACAATGTGCTGTCAGAAACAAACCGCGGAGATCTGCTTTCGAAAATCATTTTTATTCTTGTATAACGCGTAATAACATTATAATACCTGAATAGTAAATCTGAATGGCGGACGCGAATTATAATTTTTTTTTTTTATTTTTTTTCAAAAGTGTCCGCGACAGTTGGTTAGGATTTTTCGATTTCCGTGGCGTGAAAATACTGTAGGATCTTAATCTTTGGAGATTTCCGTGTAGTGTCGAAATTTCGCGTACTCTCTAAGACGAGTTTTTTTTTTTTTTTTTAAACGGGAGGGGGAAGGTAGTGATTAATTTTCGGCCAAGCGATAAACGACCGGACAGTCACCACGCAAACAAATAATACAAAAAGCAATATGATTGTTCGCGGGGTATATTACCTAAATTCGATGGGCCGTTAAAATGTCGTGTTATTCTTTGTATTATCCTCCCGTGAAGTGGCGCATTTAGAATATATACGCCCCGGGGCGAAACTATTTTACTGCCACCCTCTTTTCTACCACATATCTTCACCCGCTATAATCTTTACCTTAGACCTTCATTCCCCACACTCAATTACTGATAATGTGTCCCTTGCTTGTTTTGAATAACATTTTAAAATATATGTCCTAGGGTTCGAAAATTTACAATTTCATTTCAAAGTGTTTTATATTCAATTAGAAAATCGTACCAAATAACGGCATAAGTAAATTGTTTACGTTATCGATCGTTTCACTCATATTACATTCAACCCAAAATCATTTGACACGATAATCTGTTATCACATGTTACATATTACTTGGGGGTGCAAAGTGTAGACAACACGGGTAGAAAAAAGTTTATACAAACGGTTACCGTTCTCGACATAAAATCACTCATGGTCCTTCAATACAACAGCGCTTACAACAATTACCTATAAATTAAAAAAATAAAATCATAGATTAATCAATCTATGAATTACAATTAAAAAAATCTGTTACAATCTGTAACCTCGAATTTTTTGGATTTGTTTTTCCTTTAAAACATTGTTCTACGAGGAATAACTCAACTCTTCCTGTGCTTATAGTAGAGGTAAAATATAAAGACCACATAGCAGAGAATTTAATCTGTGTTCCCAGCGAGTTAACTGAAAACTTGATCAATGATGCTATTAAGTGTTATACATTTTGTGATAAAAACAAACATTAATACACTCAACGAAACTGCCGCCCCTAAATCTGTTAAAATTTTACCGCAAGGGTCATTCGGCCCCTTCGCCACTCCTTAAATGCGCCACTGTTCCCGTGACCTAAGTAACGATTATTATTATTATTATTATTATTATTATTTTTTTTTTTCGAAAAAGATTTACTTAATACCGTACGCATTGACCAAGCCAGACAGTCATCGTGTCGTTTAATACGATTACGATTCGTTTTGCAACGACCGTAATCTTGCCCGGTATATAGTATTATTTAATCCGAGTTACTCTAAGAGCTCAACGATTGCCCGGAAAAATGTTCCTCGTCGAAGTTATAATACCGAGAGAATACTTATTTCCCCATCGAATTCGGGCAATAATATAATAGTTGATTATGGTGTCGGATAAAAAGATGATAAAACCGATTGGTATTTATTTTATCTTGGCAGTACAACTCGTATGTCGAATGTACACGGAACGCGTTGGGAATCAGATAACGTATATAAGTTTTTTTTTTTTTTTTTTTTTTTTTTATATCGCAAGTATTATACGCGATTTGGATTATATTGCGGTTACTAAAGAATAACGTCAACGAACGAAAAAATCGTACTTAAATTGTACTTACCAAACGATAATAATAACTATAGTAGTTACACTACAATAGTACATGTTAATATCTTTACACGACGACCACAGTGATTAGAGGAGGTGGCCGATAGTATTGATTTCTACTAGTCGGATGGTACAAAGTTCGGATAAACCACATACGTTTTATCCCCAAAATTGATGATGATCGCGATGTGTGTAAAGATGATCATCATACTGAAGAGTCAAATCGGTAAAATGATAATTACGATGAAGAAAATAACAGTGCATTTGATAAAAATAAAATCCGTCAACGCAGTTACATTTGAAATCTTAAAACACGCCGGAACGCTAGACGTTATCGTGTAGTGATCCATAACATGGACGGAATAAGAGAACGAAATATTATTATTATTTGTACGGCGTGATGTTTTAGATTCTGGATGGAGCGAAAAAGCTTATGGTTTTACAAAGGTTTTTATTTTTTTTTTTTTCCCGTGGACAACTTTTCCACCGGCAATTTTACTCCAACATTTAATGAAAGCAGTTTTTCTAAAATGATATTTCACCGGGAAGATACTGTAGAGAGGTCGTTTTTCGATTTTCTCAAGAGTTTTCCCAGCAAACGTGAAAAACCGGGATTAAACGCGGGAAAACCGGGAAAATCAGTACAGCATCAAACGAAAATTATTAAAGAAAACATATAGAGCCTATTAAATTATTTTACTATAATATGACATGAATAATGTATATAATGTCGACGAAGAGTCACTATCGACCTGTAGTCCGCTCGTAAGCAATGGTTTATCGTTGCTTACAAGTATAAATAAATGCTGCCGCGTCCGTCCGTCCCCATTATCCTAGGTAGACATTTTGTTTTTCTCCTGGTTAAATTTTCGTTATCTCCGTAATTGCAAGGCAAAAAGATAAAAAAATTGTACAACGGACGGATATTATTTTCTCTGCACGCCCGCCCTCCTACGGCGCGGTAAACGGCAATCAATTGTTTTCCGGTATAGTTTTTTTCATTACGGTTACGTAACCAATAAATATCGAATATTGTTTTATTGTTTTCGTGTAATTTCGCAGTGAACACCGCGCCGTAACAATTTTGACGGTTTCGGGCATTCAATACGCGCAAGTATATTACCCGATCAATGAACGATTGCGGAGAACCTCCACGCCACACCGCACCCGTAAAAACGCCGCGGGTTCGTTCGCGCGGAACCCGGCGATTTATTGTCGCGTGTTTGCGTTTGTTAAACGTTTCGGTTGATGGTTAGCCGCGATTCGACGTTCGCCGCGCACGGTGCCGGCGCGCGATCGCGGCCGAAACGTTTAAAACGCGGCGCGTTCCGTTTTCCCTACGAAGCCACGAAGTTTGCGGCGGTCCGATTATTTTCGCCGTGGAAAGTTCGCACGGGGAACGATTTCGTTCGGAGACCGCGGCCGCCCGACAAAGACGACGATACCGTAACGGCGGGGCGAACCTCGAACCCGAGCGGAAATGCTGACGCGCGTGCCGCGGCCCGGGTCAACGGATAACCGTTTCGTTAATAATTAGTAATTATTTTCGAAAGTTTCGAAAACAATACACGTTGTGCCGTTGCGTACACGAACCCACGCACGTGAACCGCGGTTCTTTTGTCGGAAACTGCGCCAACTATTTTCGTTTATAACATTATAATGTATTGTAACGAATGTCGCGGCGTGTTCGTACAATTGTCAATTAAAACGATCTCGGGGGTGCAATTATTATTGTATCGACGAGTGTTTAATAATTTATTACGGAGACGTTTAGGACGGACGTTTCTAATAATCCGTTTAGTTTGGAAAAAAAGAAAAAAAGAAATGGCGAATACGATTTTAAATGTTGCGGTTTTTTAACCGACACGCCGCTATTTCAATCGCGTTGTTCTCGTGACATCTGGTCGAATATGCGATTCTGCAACGTCGAATTATTACCTATACGAATACGTCGTTGTTTTTCAAAGTTATTCGCCACCGTACAACAATTAGTTTTAATGCTCGCCTATAAAATCTCGTATTGTATTTTATCGGTATCGTCGGTACTGCGGAAGTTACGATAAACTTTCGTGTACAGTGTTTGGCGAGTATCGCGTCCCTTTCCGCCACCTCCTTCTCGCACCAAAGTCTTTGCTGGCCCGCAACGTTTTACGCAACAGGTATCCGCCCCCGGATGGGTGACCGGGTATTTGGGTGACGTATCGACTGCGTCCAAAATTCTAAAGGTATTGGAGATTTTCCGTTTTTCTCTGAGCGCAGGAACTACACGTAGGAATTTTAAAAGACGTGTTTTCATTTCAGTTACGCATTGTGTACCCACGGATCGATCTGGTAACTGGGTTTATTCTCCGATCTGAATTTAATCGCTCTTAAACTAAAAAAAAAAAAAAAAAATTACGAACGAATTTTAAAATAATAGAGTAACTTTGATCTGCACTCTAGTCGAATGTTCGTTCAGTCGATTTGATGCCGTCACAATGTATTATTACGATTTTTATCAGACTATAAGGATAGTTAATTCGTGGCGTTTTCCTGTAAAACCGTTTTGAGCCATACAAAATAGAAAAATTCGCATCCCTACGGCATTATTCGAGGGGTCTGTATGGCTGTATAACACCTTCCTTCCGAAAAAGCATTGTGAAATTCGTACATTGTTTTTTTCACTTTTCAATCCACTGATTAAAAAAAAAAAAAAAAATCTAGTTTCCAAGTTTGAGCTCATGTGGTCCAGACGGCGCTGGACTCTATACACGGAACGCGCGTTGCATATGTTTTGTGTACTAAAAAGTGTCTCCCGATAGGAAGCCGCCATATTGATTCCGAAGGTGATTTACTCCATGAAAAACATGGAGAATAAACCAAATAATCTGTGGTTATACCAGTGAATAACATTAACATAATGTGGAAACCAGAAATAGCCGATAGGATGATAGTAAACAGGTATTGATATAAAAAGAAATCTCTGATAAACAGTAAGAATTATCGTTTTAAAGTTTTAACATTTTGAAGTATAGCTAACCGTGTCAAGATTTGTCGCTTATTTTTTCCTATCAAAACATAATTAACTTTTTTGTTATTTCATGGAAAATTCTCATCTTGGTGTTACATTCAGATACTGTTTTTGTCAGTATTGTAATATGATTTTCTTCAGTCGAAAATGTGAAAATCGATGTTCGTTAACAAGTGTTTGTCGATGAGATGACTGAAAACTGCTATGGCTACACTTTCAGAAAAATCTCGGTGACCAAATTTTAAAATATAATATGCATAATAATATCATATAATTTTAACAACATTATTTAAAAAGAATTAGGAAAGGATGTAGGGTGATGTAAAAAAAAAAAAAAAAATACCACTACATATATTAGTTAGTTTTATTTTTAAATTAGTGAGCTGGAATTGAATCGTTTTGAACATTGGTAGAACTTCTTGTAAAAATAAAAATGTAAGAGGAGGGTCCTTATTTTAATAACTTTTTTTTAAATAATCAATTTAATTTAGTATTATGATGTTATTACGTGTCTCGTAATACTGGTACCCATGCGGTTCCGAAAATACACTACAATGCGCACATTATTATCATGAAATACAACAATCTCTCCGCGGATTATTGTTTGTTCCATGCGCAGCGGTTACGCACAGTGCAACGCTGGACAGTTCAACTTTTTGGCTTGTGTGTAATATTTTTTTTTTAAAATATGTTGTTCTCATTTTGTTGGTCGCGGTGATTTCGACGCGTAACGGCTGCGGGAACGCACCGGCGTTGGTGACAGCAAATGCTCGTACGGCGAATTCCACGTACGGACGCCGCACGACGGCCAACGCGAGCGCACGGCTCCTTCGGCACCGAGCTAGGGTTCCACAACTCCCGGCATGTTTCCACAGTGGATAATTGTTTTTTTTTTTTTATAGTATTCGACACCGTTCGGATGTCGAATCTGTAAACTTAATTCGCGAATAAAGTTTTCACCACTCTGCGTTAATCGTTTGGCAACCGGTACCCCGCCGCGCTCGCATATCCGGGAATCGATACCGCGCTGTTTCTATTTCGTCTCGAAAGACTCTTGTTTCGGGGAAAACGCGATGAAAATCGACACGTTTCGGTTTTCGGAGTTGCGATACGGTCCCCCGAGGGATTTCCCCGTAACGTTTACGTGTCCGACGAGTATATTAAACGTACATTGTAAACGATGCGAACGGTTTTTTTTTTTTTTTTTTTTACGGAATACCGGCCGCGTCAAACAAGAACGTTATGATTTATTAACAGCGGATTATTATCACGTTGTAGATAATATCGTTATCATTATATCAAATCCGCGTTATAATTCATGCGAGGACGCGGTAATACTGCCGTTACATATATTATAAACTCAAACCGCGTGCACGCCGGAAGGATCGAAAGGGCCTATTAATAAAATAAAATAACGCGAGGGGATTCGCTTAAAAATTTCACGAACGATCGGAAGCGCGATGACGTATTTGCTCGAGGAGAACCTTTCAACCTATGATAATACGTATGTACAACGTATAGGTTTCCGAAATAATTACTTCCGTTTCGGCGGATGGAATATATCATTTTTTTTTTTTTGTACTATGCAAAAGGCATAGACCCGAACGGTTTCCCCTCGAGATGTCCCAATTCGGATATTAAATGTATTTTTTTACATCCTGAGTGTGGCAAAGATCATTATCGTTTTACTGAGACGTTTGTTTTATTTTTGATACTGGGTACGAAAATTCTACCAGAAGTCTTGTTCCCATATTTACGCGCGGCACCATTTTCGAATGGAAATATTGTCCAGATGGTAGTTTAAAGAGGACATTTTTCGATTTTCTCAAGATTTTTCCCGGCAAATGAGAAAAACCAGGAAACAACGCAAGAAAACGGGAAAACCGGTACGTTATCATATTAAAGAAAATATATAATGCCTATTTAATTATTATACAATAATATGACTGATATACTACTGACAAAGCATCGCTATCAACTGAACTGTGCTCGGAATCTTTTTTTTCGTTAGCAATGGTTTATCGCTGCCTACAGATACACATTAAATTATTTATGGCTGCGCCTGTCTCTATTATCCTAGGACGTCTTTTTTTTTTATAATTCAAAATATATTGTTTGGGGTTGACTTATAGCGACATGTTTTAAAAATTGAACTGTATTACGTTACGTAGACGGGATATGACTAACGAGGACGTTTTGACAACGGGATAACTTAAGGGTACGCCGGTTTAGCTCGAAAGTGCCCCGATCTATTAAACCATATTATAATGTATTCCACTCTAATGCAAATAGGCCGGTGTTGTACCATTAAACGAAAAGAACATTTACAAAAATCGTTTTGCAGCGCCGCACTTTAAGCGCAAACATCTACTGAAAAATGTAAAAATCGTAACAGACCACTAGCGCGTTACACAGCGAATATGATTCCGAACGGTGACACATCCCATTAAGGTCGTTATCTTAATGTTCGCGGGTCGGGCCACTTTCGCGCCCGGCGTCGAAATTCGCGTTGACCCCGTACAACCCCGGCCGACGAAACACGAATACGAGCGTACCCCCACAGTCCGCCAGACGTGTCGTGTGTATGAATTGATCGGCCGTGCCACGGGTATCGTGTGATTAAACGATACTGCGTTGTCTGACGTGGCTTCAACACACGGCGTTATCACGCGATACCCGCGCTAAAATGATTAGGTACTGATTATTAATAAAACAACGTGAGATCGCCGCGAATAAATTACTGTGACGGACGGCGATTTTTCCGAGCCGACCGGTTGGTTTTGAAAACACTTTGCACAGACATTACACGATATTGAACCGTTTCATATTCGGCGTGGGCGGTCGTGCCGTAGGCAAAACGACTTTCGTCGTTGAAACAATCGCGCACGTGTAATGTTTCTGCAGCCCAAAGCAACTCCTTCGGCAAACGAAAATCGCTTGCACCGGCAATACGTTTTAGCCGGAAAGCTTATTATCATCTGTGACGCGAATTCGCGTTTTCGGTACGGTATGTGAAAGGATTTCATGCAGCTAAACACATTCGGGTGTCTTCTCCGAAGTTAACATTTTCGACAATCCCTACCTCCTCACTCCTTTTCACCCCTCGTTTTTGGCCACCGGGACCGAGGGCGGCGGACCGATAGAGGTTCGTATCGCCCGGATTTTCCACCATCGGCAACAGCTTTTTCCCGTTAAATCCGAGCGCACTGTTTTTTCGCCCGGAACAAATTAACTACAAACACTTTGTCACGAAAATCAATCACCGCGAGACGGTCCGCGCCCGTTCGTGGAGAACGGAATTCGTCAGTGCATACCCCATGACTTCGGGAGCGACGACAAACTTTTTTTTTTTCCGCACTCTCTTACACGCGACTCTAATTAATCAGAATTTTCACACCCTCACCTCCCCTCCCCTGTCCCAAGCGCCGCGTTAAAACCGCCGTGACCGAGGCGACAATAATAATTAGGTACTTGAAAACTCTTTGACGCGCGCGCGTAATATATTCCCGTCATCCGATGGAATATAATATAAGAATAATGAATATGAACGCCTTTGGTGATGTATATTAAGAATATTGGCATCGATCTTCCAACGCCGTAATACGACGGGTTTAATTATCGATCACAACACGTTTGTCAGCGGAATTTCAGTTCGAGTTCAAGAAATTGATAAGTGGTTTTCCGCGTGTAACCCGCCAAAAAATGTTTACGTATAATAATAGTAGTCCACCGACAAATCCGACGGTACCGTTATAATTGCTACCAGGTGTGGATTATCGCATAAAAAAAAAAACAAAAAAACTCCGGGAAAGATTCACTCTATCGGCCCTTTTGGCCGCACATCGCGGGCATTCAGAACTACCTGAATCAATTACCGATAGCCTATTAATGGCGCCGCGATATCCGTGAACCAGCCTCCGACGGCCCATTGTCAGTTTTCAACGGATTAATTTACAGCTTAACGGAACAGCTCAATTAAATATTGTGTTACATCAGACTCGTTACATCATTTATTCCGGTTAATTATTTACCCCACTCGATTTGCTTAATTCGTTTTCATCGTGTCCTACCGGGAGATTTCCTTGTGTCCCGGTAGCCTAGGCCGACCATATCTGCTATCTTTGTCTTTGTATATTGAAAAAAAAAAAAAAGTAAAAACTATTTGTATATATTTTTGGAATGCATTGGTTTTACTTTGTTTTTTTTTTTTTTTTTTTTTTTATGCGTGTGTCTGTAAATAACCGTTAACCAGGAATCTTGCTCTAATCTAAAATTGTACTGTGGCTTTCGTGTATCATGTTTATTCTAGTTGATGCATTGGTGAGATAATTTCTTAACATTTTTTATAGTTTCATTTATGCGAAAGTAATAGAACATTTTTATTTTCGTTTATATTTCAAGGACCAATAGGAACTAAATAAGTGTCTTCACTCTTGAGAAGAAATAATCAAATTTTAATTTAATATTTGACCGTTTTAAACAATTGTTTAGGTAGGAATTTGTAATTTGTTTCGCATAATTTTTATTTTATTTTCCGGGTTACTTCGGCGATAAAAGAAAATCTAATAATACTCTGCTAAAAATGCTTTATTATTATTTTTTTTTTTTTTTTGGCTAACGTACATATGTTAATTAAACCACTCTGTACGTCCATTTTTCTCACTTTCTCCCGAAACAGTGACGCTCCCATCAGCAATATCAGCCATTTTTTTCATTGCACTGGAAAACTCTTCGAATATTTTGATGCAAACACTTTTTCCAAAGATACCTTACAGAATTCTCTTCCTTTACTATATGTCAGTGCTAGCTTAAAATCGGACCACGGGCAGTCCGCCGTAATGTTAAAATGCATTTTGATTACATATTATACTTATTATTCGTGCGTATTAAAATATTGTTTTTTTTCGCCGTTTCATATCGGCCGATGCCGTTGTGTGCATAGGATAAACATTATGATATTATAATCGTCGCAAGCGTGTTTTATTTAGACACCCGAGCCACGGACGCGATTAATCTGATTAAATCGAAAAATAAATAATAAATATTTGTGGCGGGGTTTTTTTTTATTATTATTATTATTGTGTTTATACACGCGCGAGTTAATAACAATAATGTATCGTTGACACGTTCTTGTTTCTTATTTTTCTTATGTTACCGAGTAGGTACACGGCCATGTTCGCGTGAAATAATAATATTGTTAGTCACACACTCGAACGATTTGTTTTCGTCTCGAGATATCCGTGTAATTTTTACACCGGGCGTTTTCGTATTGCAGTCACGGCCGCCGAGAACCCGGAGAATCGGTTTTCAGGGAACACTTCCAATTTTATGTGTACACGGCGTAATACGACCGTTGTGTAAACTCCCGCGGTGTGTTTAAAAAAACAAAACAAACGAGATTAAACGTTTCGAGTACACCAGAAGTTTCTAAAACCCAACGGCACCGATGGTATTATACGAGTAATCGACAGACGTATAAAGTGAATTTGATTTCAGTACGTTTTCATTAATTACGGACGTCTGGTTTGTGGATTTAGGGATTTCCCCCCGTTTTTTATTGCATACACTAGCCGCGCATAATATTTAAAAATAATCGCCTACCTAATATACTTTTAATTTCCGTGAATGTAGAAATCCGTATTCATTTACAATATTTAACGATAAAAACCCTCGGTACACACGCACAGTGCCGGCGGTAAGTTTTGCAAGGCCCTGGACAATTATTTAGTTCGACCGGTGTGTGTGCTTGGCACGCCGAAGACACCCGAAGCATTTATTTTTAGAGGGGCCTCATATTTCAAAAAAATTCAAAGGTCACGTGAATCAATGCGATATTCGGCGGGAAATTTGTGCAATTGTGCTTTCAATTTCAGAAAGATTAGTTTTATTATTGATATTCAAGTAAAACGCCTTCGATTATTATAGTTTTTTTATTTAGAAATCAGACGTTTTTATACATTTGATAGAACAATATAATTTTCAAACAAAAAACGCAAATTTCGTAAGTCCTCAAAAAAAAATAAATATATATAACTTTATGTGGATATTCATCATCCTGAATTCTCGTCTATATCAGTTTCAACTATTTTTTAGGTTTCGTACTACACACAAAGTAATATCAAATACAAATTCGTACTTTATTGTAATTCTACTTTCGCCGTAAATTTGATACCATTCGGGTTTTCCCCTCGACATTTTCGTAAACAATTTACACAATTTTAAAATTATATTTTTATCATTTTTATTATTTCATTGAAACTTTATTGAATATAAGAAAACTTTCGCTAAACAATTTCTTATTCGAGTATAACCCATTTTTTTTTTTTTTTTTTTTAGAAAACCGTATAATAAAATATTATGATTTATGAGCGTTAAAGTTCGGAGCAACGAAATTGAAACGGACTTTTTCGTCGGGTATATCGTCATATTTTAATACTGTTCTCGTGTTATCGAAGCGAAAAGAACCTATAGATATACAACGATATATTGATAAGGCAATAACGCCGAGCGCGCACGCAAATAATCGCATTGCGTGTTGGTAAACACAATTCGAAATCATTTACGTATTTAAAACCCGTTGTGCGTGATAATAATAATTGCAGTCGTGCAGTCGGCACGTCATAACGCGTGGCTATACACACATAAACGTATAAATATTATCATATTGTTAACATTGCCAATCGGCATCGGTTCCGTCGAAACGGGCGGAAACAAAACGTTTTCAAAATAAACATTACTAACGTCTGTACAATTTCGATATTGTCGCACGCGGGGTTGCCGAACGTTCCGTATACGTGTACGTGCGGGTCCGTGTTTACACTGGCGCGTAGCACGGCCGAACGGTAACAGACCGCGTATTGCCGTTACGCAGGTGCCCGCGGGCTACCGAGTGCCTTTATATCGAATATATTACGTAGACACTCTCAAAGTCTGGATAACCCGTACCCAAAAGACGGCTGCCGCAGTTCACGTTCGAATTCGCCTAGCCGCCGGCTAGTGGCGACGCGCGTGTCGAGAGAGGCGGCTACAAAAGAATATCCGACAGGTGCCCGCCCGATAACGTTACACCGTTGTGCGGAACGGTTGTTCCTCGATAACACGCTGATTATGTTTGATTTTTTTTCGCCATTCTTTATACGGGTTTCGTCGAACACCGTACTCGGTATGCAAATAAATAATCGTTAAAATCGCGGTATTCGAAAACGCCGTACCGCGTTCAGAATCGTATTTCGTTGGCGACGATTTACAGTTACGTAGAAATGCTGCAAAATTAAACAACTCTCAATGCGTTCTAAAAAGTGTCTACATTTTTTTTTTTTTTTTTTCTATTGTCGTAATTCTGTTAAAAACGTACAACCTCGTCTATTACACAAGGGATAACTTCGTTTCTCGTTATTAACTGCGAAGGGTTCAATTCGCATCGAGTCAATGCGATGACCTTATTTTTTATAATATTATTACGCTGTGACGGTATATTATATTTTGAGAATGTACTGTGCGTGGCTACGACCGATTTTATGTTATAGTCGGCAAAGTTGATGACGTAGGAGGAGGACAAGACGTATTTTGTTTTGTACGAATAACGCTCGGTTTCGAAAACTATGCCGAAAAGCCCAAACGACGATTAACGATCTGACGAAATTATTATTTTAGATTCCGAGTGAAGCGAAGATGTTTATGGTTTTACAATGATTTTAACAGCTTTTCTACCAGAAGACTTGCCTGGATTTCTAAGCGCCTTTTCCGAAAGGATATTGGTTTGAGGAGGTACATTAGAAAGGCGGTTTTTCGATTTTCTTAAGAGTTTTTCGAGAAAATGTGAAAAACCAGGATAAAACACGGGAAAACCGGTAAAAACGTCGGGAACTGGGAAATATCGACACAACATTAAACAAATATTAATGAAGAAAATATATATAGCCTATTTAATTATTTTACTACAAAATGACATATATATTGTTGACAAAGTGTCACTATCAACTGAATTCTGCTCAGATTCGTTTTTTCGTATGCAAAGGCATGTCATTTCTTAAATGTACGTATTCAATTTTCCATAACAGTTGCTGCACCCGTCCCCGTTATTAGATAACACACATAAATATGGATTCGACTGATTGTTTTGCCGAAATTATAGATAGTTATTTTCTCTAAATTTTACCGAAAGCGATGAATTTTCGGATAGGTAAAGTTATCGGGTGGTATATTTCTCGTTTCGTCAACCAACGTCTTTATTAGTGTTATTGCAAATGTAAAACATGAATACAAAACGGACTAGAAAAACCTACCGAATTACCAGCGTCCGGTATTCGTCCCTTTATTTAATAGGTTTACATTATTTTATTACGTATTATATACTAATAATTTGCATATTCGATATTATACGTCCCTACGTTTCCGGCAGATATCTACTTAATGCAAAAAAGCTTTTAGAGTAATAAACGGTATACCTGACCTGATCGATGGATTATCGTCGAACGAATCGTCTTTGTTTTGGCGACAGATTTTTATCCCTGTCGCTTCCTGGCTCATACGACTTAATACCGGTCTCAGTGACCTCGTTTCAGATTGGATCGTCATCGTCGCAGGTATCGACCGAATGCTCGTGAATAAATGACAAGTTATATTCCCAGATTCTGAGTGGAACGAAGAAGCTTATGGTTTTATGAAAATGTTTATATTTTTTTTTTCTGTGGACAACTTTTCTACCAAAAATCTTGCTCCGATTTTCAAGTGCAGCATTTTTCGCTGAAAGGAAATTAGTGTAGAGAGTTACTTAAGGAGGTGATTTTTTGAAAGATTTTTCATCAAATGTGAAAAACCGCGAAAAACGGGAAAATCGGTACATTAAACGAATATTATTAAAAAATATATATATAATGTTTATTTAATTATCTTACCAAATTATGACATATAAATTGTTGACGAAGGATCATTATAAACTGAACTCCGGTCAGAATCGTTGTTTCGTGAACAATGGTTTATCGTTGCTTACAGGTAGGTATACATTAAATTACTTACAACAGTGGCTGCATCCCACACCATTATCCTAGGACGTCTTTTCAAAAATTAGTTGATTCCTTATTCACTATGTTGTATAAATATTCATTTGAGAATTCGAAATATCTCATTGTACAGCACGTGCAGATTCAATTTTTTTGTACCGAAGCAGTTTCCTTCTGGCGAGAAGGACGATGAGATTCGTATAAAATCCATTGATTACTCAATTATAACATTTTTTTTGTCTTTTTTTTTTTCTATTGCATTCAAATGTTTGGCGGTGAATTCCGGTTATTACAGATTTTCACAGGCAATGCGAAATTTAATTTCAAAACCGTTAAAATTGTTGGATTTTTTGAAATTTATTAATCCGTTTTAGACAGGTTAAAATGCACGTATTCCTGTAATCAAATACTACCATGCGGAAACGGTATCGAGTTTAGTTAGTTGAAATAATATTGTTGGCAAAAAAATTCCATCGGTATAACGTTATCCACCCACCTTTTCGAAAATAATATTATAACAGATGTTGTACATGATATCTGAAGATGTCTGCGGGTTACCTTTGAGTATCTACCGTAGACGAGTGGCACGATTTCTATAATATACTTTCCTTCTCCCCCCCACCCCTGGGAACGAGACATGCTCGCGGTGACACTCGACATAACTAACAATATTGCACCGAGTTTTGCACTGCCGAGGATGAGTCGAAGGTTTTGCGTTTTCGATATAATATTATCATGAAGGTAACTAGTTTTTGAAATCGTGTATAAATCGCCGTAAGGGAAATTGAAACGAGTCATTATAATATACAAATAACAAAACCGAGAACGATTCTGCTATATATTACGATTGTGCTGTAAGTGGGATAGGAATGAGATTAGGAATTAATAGGGTAAGTATATGGAGTGTAAATGTAAAGTCTTCTCTTCTCAGCCGTCGTTATCGGACACTCAAACTATGGATCAAGATTACTTTCTCTGTGAATGCTGACACCTCCTACATTCTCTACAATATAATTAATTTAGAATATTATATTAAATAACGAATATTACTATTTGTGGACGGTGGGACAGTGGGATCTCCGTCGGTGGTGTAAAGCATCCAGTTCTGAAACTGACATAAATTAGTTGAACTGGTAAAATTCGAATATATATTTTTAAACTTATTCGAATACGTATTCTGAATACAAAATAGCAGTATTATTTACAAGACTGATCTCAGTTAATGCGACTTGTAACGTATTACCGATATTGTGCATATCAAATAAAACAAAATAAAAATATTATTGTAAAATACAGTTCTTTTGCCCTGTGGTCATATTCTTCCCGAGCAAATACTCGTCATACTGTTTGTTTTTCACTCGATCACTCTACGGCTGCAATGATCTTGTTGAAGGGTTGGTTTAAAACAGTAGCATATAATCTCAACGGTTTCATCTCATTCGTTCGTTCAAAAAATTAATTTCATTGTGATTTTATCGAAAATTATTATTGGATTCACAAATCTCATC